AGAGGTAACTCGGTCCTTCTCCGTCTTCAGCTTCAGCCTTCAATGACACCTTTTTAATGTGAGTTAAGTGGCACTCTCACACATGCGAGATACGAGACACCCTTACGGACGCCTCTTATTGGGAACCAAAGATGGTGCGTCATGCGCAGGCGGACTGTCCACTGCGTCGGAGCCCACCTCCGGCCATTTTGACATTGTCTTTGCATAGGAGCCAGATGATTAACGGAACCGAATCGCTTCCGCACAAGTTCGTCTCACTGTAGGCCGTTTCATAAAGTAATGTGGAGTTTCACGTTCCAGGGTTTTATATGAGTTCAAGAGAAGACTGTTCGACCGTCGAGAGAGTTTTTTTTACTAGGCTGAGCTTTTGAGCTCGTGCTGGAGTTCATCGTCAGAGATAGCGGCTAAATGGGTGACAATAATTGGAGGTCCAAGCTAAGCAGTTACCAGTGAAGTCAGCCTGGAGGTGACTGCGCGGGGTCTTGTACGCCGGCGCCAAATCGAAACATCGGTTGAGTTCCCACTCGTGGATCCGGCTCTAATTAATTGTCGGCTCGTGTTGCTTCCGGCGTGTGCGATTATCTTGTCGGCCGTGAAGTTGAACTCACAGCCCGCTTCGTAGATGTGGACTATCTTCTTCCTCTTCCTTGTCTTGACAACTGGATCCCCGTGTGGGAGCGCTGAGAGAGTGGAGTAGATTCTCCGCGAGTCTTCTTTCGCTGTATATCCCACGGGAGTCACCGCGTCGCTTCAACTCGTTGAAGCTCGTAGCGGACATCGTCGAAAACGACGGTCGTACTGTCCTCATTCGTTCAGTTTGACCTGTGTATTTACAAAGACAGTTTGGGTATGGGATACAATAAAGTGCTCAGATTGCTCTTGTGAATTAATTCAGTCTTTGCTTTTCATCGCCATGCAGTGCATGGTAGCTTTGGATCGGTTTTACATCTCAACGCAACTATGCGCTCAGTCGCATCTGAGGTACCTATGATGCATAGCAGGGCGACTCATATACTCGGCGGTGTGTCTGTTTGGGTCTTCTGCGGCCGGAACCTTCAGACGCCTTCGGATAGCCATTTTTCATAATTCGGTCGCGTTGATATCCGGCCTCGCATAAGTCTTCCTCTGGCTTTCTGCTTTGAGTCTGAATCCGCTTCAAGAGCATTATCACACAGTTTCCTTTGTCAGCCACTGCGTAGTTGCTGTAAAAGTTGATCAACTATGGGGTGTTTTTCGCTTTCCTTTTAACCGTCGTCTAAAGTTCACCGTAGAGTTTTCGCTTGACAAGGATGTCATAGAAAGCTGACTGTGGTTTTTTTTTCTTCTTTCGTGCGTACTTCGTCAGCACTGAGCCTAAACCGTAGGGCATGTATTGAACGTCATAGTTTGAGGCGATGTAATTGTCCTCGTTTACGTTGATAATCAGTGCTTTGAACCTCCTCATGTTTCACTTTTGTTGCATACATGTGTCCGCCATCTTATCTTACCCTACTGGTCTCCTGAACAGGTCGCTTGGTTAACGCGCTAGACCAAGACGGGAGGTAGATACGAGCACGGCAGACGCTATTCGGGTTGCACCCCCTTTAAAGCTTCCGACCATGGAAGTGGGGGTGTTGTGGTACGCGTAGAGACACGCTCACACCGCACCCGCGCTTGATTGCTGTCCAATCAGAGCACAGCGGGCTAAAATTCTGTGTATCACTGGTGTCTGCTCTCGCCTCCGATTTTTTGGACTCTGTCTGGACATCGGACAGAGGGAGGGGAGGTAGGATACAGTGAGATAGGCGCAACGCAAGTCCACTGTCACTTAAATCTAATTCATGCGGTATGGTACGCTTTCCTGGG